AGGCCTCGCGCCTTCGGCGCTCGCTCAATTTTCTCTTTGGTGGCACGGACCTGTGTGGCTCACGCAGGAGCAAGAGAAGTGGCCTACTCAAGCTGCAGACGCCACTCCCAACGACCAGCCGCAGGTGTTCGCGGCGCAGGAGGAGAGACCCAAGGACGTCTCTGTGCACCCGTGCCTTCCTCGTTTTCAAAAGTTCTCCAGCTTTGACAAGATCGTCCGGATGCTAGCTTACAGCTGGCGTTGGCGCGTTCGCCCCATCTACCAAGAACACCAGCCGATTAATCCCTTTCTTTCAGGCAAAGAGATTTGGCTCGCCACTCTTCTCTGTTTTAGAATTATTCAGAGTCATCACTTTGCTAGCGAGCTAGAGAGGTTGAAGCGTGACAGTTATGTCTCCGCTCGCAGCCCTCTCCGTCAGCTGTCGCCTTTCATCGACCATAACGGAGTCATTCGAGTCGGCGGCCGCCTCGATCATTCAGCGCTTCCGTACAGCGAGAGGCACCTGGTCATCCTGCCGAGCCGTTGCACGATCGTCAGGAGACTCGTCGAAGACACTCATCAGCGGACCCTTCATGGCGGGTTCCAACTAATGCTGTCGCACTTGCGTCGTTCCGTTTGGATTTTACGGGGCCAGCGCCTAGTGGTTGGAGTACTCCACCGCTGTGCTAAGTGCACGCGCCATGCTGCACGGAGCCCTAGCCAACTCATGGGCCAACTGCCGACTGCACGAGTCTCCCCGTCTCGTCCGTTCTCGCACACGGATGTGGAAGTTACGGGCGATCTCGCTCTCACTCCGGCACATTTCCTGGTCGGCTCTGCGCTGCTCTCTCCCCCCGAGCCATATGACGAAGCGCAGAGGCCAATGTCACCTTCCAACCGCTGGAAGCTACTTGTCGACCTTCGTAACTCATTTTGGTCCAGCTGGAGAAAGGAGGTCCTGCATCAGCATCTCAAGCGATGCAAGTGGCAAACTCCTCGAACAAATTTACAATAAGGAGACGTCGTTCTCGTGCGTGATGAACTCGCGCCCCCAGCCACCTGGCCCTTGGGTGTGGTAAATGCCACGCAAGCCGGGGCGGATAACCTTGTGCGCGTAGCCACGGTGGAGACGGCTGCCTCGACGCTTTCGCGACCAATTGTGAAGCTTGTTAAACTGTTAACTCAACCCGAGCTCGAGAAGTGCTATTCCGAGCAATCAAAATAAACTCAGTGCTAATTAGTAGTTTATTCACTTACTAACCCATTAAATAATTTGAGTTTATGTTTGTTTGTTTTTTTTTTAATTGCAAAATTTGTAAATCCTTCATGTTCATGTCAGCTCGTGGCCAGGGTAAGCTACTAACACTATTGTATAGCTGCGCTGGCTATCGCCGTAGCAGTAGGTTTAGCTCTATCCACTTACAGGCTTCTGTTCTATCTCGCTTTTTTCAATTCATTTTGACGCTGTTGCCTCAAGGTGGGCGGTATGTTCACGTATGTGTGTATACGCTTGTTGAGAGCAATAAAGAGAGGGACGAAGGCCTCGTGGCACCGCAACGCAGGTGGGTCTCTCCCAAAAGGGCCCCCCTCCCTTAATTGTCGCCGCGTTGTACAGTCTCTCTAGACAAACCGCGAGCGAGTCAGTTGCAATCGAAGAGCGTTAGAACGAGCGTGACTTAAGTACTCGTCTGCTTCGATCGGCATATTTTTGGTCTTTATCGCACTGACCAAGCGACGCACGCTGGCCAAGGAGAGCCTTCCTCTATCTCCGTCGTCTAAGAACAGTCCATATTTACAATTGATTTAATTTATTAGCGTCATTTTTCCGGTCTTCTTTTCTGATTCGCCTTCATCTTCATATTTGCTGTAAAGAAAAAATACAAGTTGTTTCCTATCATCGAAGAGTTCGTGTTGAGCGTTTTATTTTTCCCTACTCTTTACAGGCATTTGTCAACGATAACGGGTACGTTTCCCCCCGCGACCTTGATAACGGTCCATTGCGACCTAGAGGCTCGAAACGAAACAGGTGTGATCATATGGATGATAACAATACTAATGGCTATCATAATTACAAAAAAAATAGATTTATAAATATTTTTTCTTTGGAGTTCGCGCAAAACTTATAGCTTTCATTAAAGCTACTATTAATAACTAAATTTTAAGCTAACTTTTGACTGAGATAACTTTAAATTACATTTAATATATATATTTAAGCATGAGTGAACTGAACGTATTCCGTTACTGGAGTTAGCTTTTATGCATGCAAGCTTTTCTATAGTTAATCATCCATGAAAAAATTAATATTTTAATCTATTTAACTACAAGAAAATAAAAAAAAAAAAAATAAAAAAAAAACCAGTTGCCCGCTCTTAGTCGAGTTCGCGTAGAAAGGAATATTGTGATTCTTACGAGAGC